CCTGTGGTGGATTTGTGTGAAAAATACAGTTCGAAATCGATGCAAAACGAGCGTCCTAAGGATTACAAATACAAGATTAGGTGATCATTCAAACGGCTGCTAAGGCCTTAGTGGCTAAGAAGCGTTACCCACGGTGAACCGAGCAACCGAGCATCATCGGTGAGCAGTAGTCATGGAGGTTACAGAATTCCGCTTCTATACAGAAAGCCGCATGTTACGAAAATAAAATTTAGGGAATTAGATGAAAGAGGAATCAACTCCACTAGGTTGATACTCATTCGTTTCACTGTGGGAGAAAATCTTGTTTCATAACCTGTATCGCTTGCCTTCGCGACATTTGTCACCATCTCCATTGGTAGTCGCGCGCCAGAGTACCCCAGTAAGTCCTTTTTGCTTGAACTACTCCGAAAATCTCTGTGTACGAGTATCGAAGGACTCAAACATCACCTTCACATCGGATTGAATTGCCCTGACCTCATGATCGTCTTGTCTGCGCAGAGTATGAGGCGTTCGTGAAGACCCAATAACTGAAGGAACGAAGGGCCTCTTGTGGAACCGTCCCTCGTGAACTTCGACTTCGGTGCATGTCGTTGTCGAATGCGGCGAGATGGTGTCCGCTGCCGCACCCTTCTTTCGTGCCGATGATAACCTTCTAATGACCGTTGTGTTATTTTGAAGGCGATCTGACCTGAATGATATCTGGGAAAGCTCATATACATGGTTTTTACCCTCACCGACTATTCTCATACCAATCCACCGACCATGGAGATACGGACAGCTTCTTGGGCCTAGCGCACGATCCAGGAATTGACACCCGAATCGTGCGCGTGATAAAGAGTGCCTCTTGTTACTACCCCACATCCGCTAAATCTTCGTCTAGAAAAGTGAAATCCTGCTGTAAGGTTACGGTTGGGCTCACGAGAAATCCTAATGTGTGTATGTATGCCAAGGCTTTGATGACTGTTTCTGTCACCACAGAGTCTAAGGCATCTAAGTCGATAAGCAGGATACATTGCGGCATCTCACACTCTTCTGGCACTTGACTATGTCTAAATCGTACCGATATGATACATGCGATTCTCTTCAAAACCTTGCTTACCCACATTACTCTCCTTCATCTCGATCCTGTCAAGGATGAATCCAGCAAAATTCTTGGAAGCTGCAGGCAGGAGGCAGTCCAGGGGAAAATCGTCAACGGGTAAGTGTCCTTTTCGTGCAGCGACATTGCACAGGTTTCCACGGGGTGGGTAGCATGCATTCCGATGGATAGCGTGTGGAAAGTGAAGCCAGAGTTTCCACCGCAGCTGCTGGTGAACTTTCAGATGTTTTAGTCTGATTCTAATATAGCTTGAATTCACCATCTCCATTAACAACCTAGCATTTCGGACCTCGGAAGGAGGAACATGGAATGGCGTACTCATTTTTCTTCAGACGACGTGCCGGTGGGTGCAGAGGCAAGCCATCGTGGACTCACGGATGGCGACGCTTCGCTGAGCATTGCGGACTCTTCGCCCAGCCTCCGTCGCTCTAACTAATGTTATTGCTGCGCCCGCTCCTCTCCCCTTGCTTGAAGTTTTCCTTTATCGCTCTTGCGATTTTGCGAGCTCAGACATGAGCTGCCTAGGTTTATGCGGCTCCTCATGGGCGGGTCAGCTCAGGGGGTTTTACAAGAGACATCTCTTGAAGTTTTCTCAACTCTTTCTTTTCTGGCGCTATCGAGTGGATGTTCAACAAGGCGGCTGGACTCTTCGTCATATCTTCGATTACGAAACATTTGGGGTCATCCAGTGGAGAGTTCCATAACGAGATAGTCCACATCATTTACAATCAAAGGTGTTTGCTAAGTCTGGTCAACGCCATTCCGAGGTTCTACACAGGATCAGATCATCCACATATGTACTTGCCCAGAAATCCTCTTCCATTGCCCAGAAAGGGAGAAACCAAGTTCCGCCTATGAGCACTCATCCATATCGTCGTCACAGCTTGATGTTGATGGGCAGGAATCAAACCACGTCCTCTCAGCCTCATACTTGTTTGAGTCAAGTTACCAGATTTAGTACGAATCGACGTTTATGGCCTGCATATTAACGAGGCCACCCACACCGTTAACCTCTGTGCTGTCGCATGTTTCCTGGAACAATTTTACTCCAGTAGCGAATGTCATGTAGCAAGAAATACCTCCTTGTCATGGTCAACACAGCAACACGACGCTGTACTTGATCTTATCGTCATCTATCATATTGACGGCTGCAGAGCACGGGGACTGCGCGTAAACACATGTATTCCGCACATTTTTCATCCATGTCTTCCTGCCAAGTTCTTCATTAATATTTTGTAGATTATTCCTTAAAAGCAGCGATTACGATAGACTGGAAGGGTTAAGAGATGGGGTTCTCAATAGTACGCCAATGGCGAAAAAAGCAAAGAAATCCGTCAAAAATAAGCAAAATAGTACCCCTTTGATTGCCCTTTCATTTTCGACCATGGATGAGCGACGGTAAAGAACGACGTTGTTCGGACGTGTTAACCCCGATAGCCGCCATCATGCCAACAAGCATAGTGTTTGATTGATAAGGCATTACATGGGCAAGTTGGAAGATACAGGCGCTAAAGGGGAAATGATCTTCGAGGATGAACTAAACTGGTGAAGTGAACTAGTGGGCGTAACGCTTTCGGACAGAGTGCTTCGGAAGTCCTGCTCAGCAACCAGGGCACCTTTCGTCGTGAAAGCGCCACACTTCGCTTCCTTGGCAGCCAAGTAACTGCTTCGTGTGGTGCATATACTCCCCCGATGCGCCCTTCCTTTATCGTGATCGCTTCCTTTGAGATATTTGTAGCTGGTCTGGAAAATGGTTACATGCCTCAAATTACCAACGGTTTTCTGAGCTTTGCTTTTTTTCTTTTTTCCAGCTTTATTGTAGCCCTTCCTCTAGTTTTTCTTTCTGAGCTAAGTCATTAGTTCGGTTTCTCCTTAGCTTTCTTTTTTTATCTTCACGTACATGTGTATAAGACAGAAGTACAGGCTAGATTAGACCTTAAGGACTGAAAGATGTGTATATCCATCAAAACAACCGAGCGAAAAATGCTTATGACGTCCACTGCAGCGAAAGTTGATAAATTTTGACTTCTTGCCTTTTCACATCCTTTGGATGATAATTCTGCAATCACATCTCTAGATACCTTCTACCCACTGTTCATCGCAGATACGATTTTGTTCCAATCAATTTTTTGAGTTTATCACTAATAATCCGCGTATGCAAGGTCAGGCGGCTGCGATTGCAAAATACACTACTCCGAATAACTATACAGCCACCTATGAATTGTGTGAAAACTCTTCCCAAGATGTATTCGAAGAAGCCTCTATATGGAAAAGGTTGTAGGTATAAATGCTATTTTGCACACCAGCACAGAGTTCCAGCTTTGAAATTTGAAGGAAGTTTTTCTGCAATTTTTCGGAAAAGCCGCTCTGACCTATTCCGCATAATTATACAGCCACCCCATACTTTCTTGTTGCCTTTCTTTCCTGCTCGATTAAATTTTTTTGTTGTTATCCACACTTCGTCTTTAGGTGAAAACAAGAGGGAAACCGTCATCATAATTTAAATAAAGGCAAATGGTAACAAAAATCGTGAAAGAGTTGAGAGGCAGTCGCACTGCCCAAATTTCGGGCCAGTTTGCTTCAGAGTAAACAATTTCTTCGAGCATTGTGCAGGATATGGAGTAAAATTGAGCCTTGGAGATCGTTCTTTGCTTTCGGATTCAGATAAACGCCGCCTCATAAGAAAATCAAACAGTTCCATCAAGTTGTGCTCGGAAATCAAACCTTATTTGGAAACTTAATTCTCCAACAGGTGTCTGTTCGGCGTCTGTGGCAGAACTGCAAGTTCATTCACGAGTGAGAAATGTAAAGCGCATTGTTTATGACAACAAAACATCTCAAAAACCGAGACAGTTTTGTCAAGAAGTGAAGCCGAGCCAACTGGAGTGAGGTCGGTTTTTTGCCTGTCATTTCCTACGCCTTGTCTGCCTTTCTCGAAACATTTTCTTACTCTTGATAACTTCTTCTTATGGAGAAGCGTATCCTGGAGATAAAGAACTTTGGAAGAAAGGCAGGTAAATCGTGAGAAATGACAGGTAAAAACCGACCTCACTCCAGTCAGCTCGGCTTCACTTCTTGACAAAACTGTCTCGGTTTTTGAGATGTTTTGTTGTCATAAACAATGCGCTTTACATTTCTCACTCGTGAATGAACTTGCAGTTCTGCCACAGACGCCGAACAGACACCTAGGAGAATTAAGTTCCAAATAAGGTTTGATTTCCGAGCACAACTTGATGGAACTGTTTGATTTTCTTATGAGGCGTTTATCTGAATCCGAAAGCAAAGAAAGATCTCCAAGGTTCAATTTTACTCCATATCCTGCACAATGCTCGAAGAAATTGTTTACTCTGAAGCAAACTTGGCCCGAAATTCGGGCAGTGCGACTGCCTCTCAACTCTTTCACGATTTTTGTTACCATTTGCCTTTATTTAAATTATGATGACGGTTTCCCTCTTTTTCACCTAAAGACGAAGTGTGGATAACAACAAAAAAATTTAATCGAGCAGGAAAGAAAGGCAACAAGAAAGTATGGGGTGGCTGTATAATTATGCGGAATAGGTCAGAGCGGCTTTTCCGAAAAATTGCAGAAAAACTTCCTTCAAATTTCAAAGCTGGAACTCTGTGCTGGTGTGCAAAATAGCATTTATACCTACAACCTTTTCCATATAGAGGCTTCTTCGAATACATCTTGGGAGAAGAGTTTTTGCAGAATTCATAGGTGGCTGTATAATTATGCGGAGCAGTGCAGCATCGGTCGCGTGCGGCAAGACTCTAATTCGCGCGATGTTATCAATATGTTCAAAAAAGATCAAGAAAAAAAGCAGCAGGTTTTAAGACAGCACTTTTGTTGACGAAGTTTTGCTAGATCAAAACAGTGATCTGAGACTGAAGTGAACTGAAATCAACTCGAATATTGAAAACGTTTTCTCACCAAAGCGCAGAACTTCTCCGGTCGAAGAACTACAGTTGCAACATCTATAACTGTCTGATAGGAGTCCGTCAGGAAGTCCATGCACTGGAATGATAGGGGTTGATGTTTCAATACGTTCTATTAGAAATATTCAATGAGATAGAAACGGCACTCCTTAATAATCTGATGTTGTTACCCAATTGGTGGAGTGGACGTTGTAATTGCAAGAACACACCCCCACTGAATTTAGACTTACTCCGTCGTAGGTGAACCCGTTGGGGAAAAGAGTGAGGTTGAGCGGTTGCCAGATTAAGCACAACTCGGCACAGGTGTTGTGAAACAGCGATGACCGTAGGAATCGCAGAAAACCGGCAACCATTTCCTTGTTCAACAGAAAACTGTGCTGAAGTACAGTTGTTTCAAGTTGCTCTGTGTTAAGTGCAGAGATGCAGAGGCGACATGTCTTGACATGACATACTCTGGACTTCTGCCTACTGGCCATACCTGAACAATGTTGCCGATCGTCATACAAGCTGTGCATTCCATACAGACAACAGCTTCAGTAATGTTCCGAGCTGAAAATGGGATCTCAATAACATATGAGGCGAAGATTGGATGATGCAATTACGATTGTGTCTCCGGAACGTAACTCATAAGCGGTGCAAAACGGTGAACTCTAAGTTGACGCTTCATTCTCCCGGCGAGTCTTCCTGATGTCTTTCACGATCATAACCCCTTCCACCGCGGTGACTTTATCTTAGGATTTGATTGTATTGCTACATGACACCACTTTGAACTCCAGCTGCTCCCCCCCCCCCTAAATTCCTCCAAAACTGTCATCGATCGATGGAGGGAGCATTGTAAAGCTTCTCTCCCACGTCAAATCCAGCATCCCCTTTATGTGACCACTCCAAAGAGATGAGTTATTCAGCTTCCACAATCGCGATTCCCTTCTAAATCACCAAATACAATCTCCTACAATAATCAGTAATACGACTCGGATCGGCGAGTGGCACGGTTGATTCCAATGGAGAAAACCAGAAATCGCAAAAATGATTGGGAGGGGTATGTAGTTTGACACTTAGATAATTTCAAACGAACCAATTGACAGTTATTGGTTATTGGCCAAAATTTTCGGTCAAAACCTTACCTCGTGCTTCGTAGTTTTGGTAACAAGCAGGAGCCAATGTGGAGCAGAATGCCTTTGCTGATGGGATATTTGCATATAATAGTCGCATCAGATGTCGCTCGTCTTCCTTGAATGCGCTGGCATTAGGGTATCTGTAGATGTTTCCGGAATTCACTTTCTCTTTGCCGACTCCAATGAGGGGGTCGTATCTGGCCAATGGTTGGGGGGGGGGAGCGCGAAAACCAGCAACAGAGTTTCAAGTCCTCAAGGCATGGCATTAGAACAGCAAAGAAGATCGGCGTTTTTAATGCCACTGAGAGCAATAACTACTAAGTGAGTGCCTGACGTATTTCAGAGCAGAAGCTCCTACTGAAACGCTTTTTTTTAGCGAGCTCGAGTGAACAGATTCTCTCGGGGATCCCGATGCTTTCAGACCAAAAATCGTAGTAGAAGTGCATATGACGGATTGGTTTTCATAGTAGAAATATATTAGAGAATCCTAGCAAAAGTGTTCGATTTAAATAGTTTTGAGAGAATTTGCTACAATCTTTGTAGCGATAAGTATATAGTTTCCAGTGTTTTTACCACCAGATTAGTCCCCCGTCAACCGCCGGGACCTTCCTTTCCTGCGCAAGCTTTCTATCCTCCGCTATGGTCCCTTCCTCCTGTGACACCAACACCTCCTGGAAGTGACGCGTATGCAACACAATGGTGTTTCATACAGTAGAAGGGACACAATCATGATATGACGGTAGATTTTTCGCTTCCCTTCCTCATCCTCCCTTCCTCTCTCCACTGCCCTCCAGCTGCCACTGCAGCACCATGTGGAATGAACGGAAGTGTGCTAAGCAGGTGTTTATATAGCCCTAAGAGTGTTATCACAACTATCCTGCTACAAAACATTGATATCTCAAATCCTGTAAGCTACCCGATTTGTTAGCGGTTTGTTTATCCCATGAGCTTCCTTCTCACTCACTTCATTTTGCGGACGGACACACATACATACATACATACACACACACACACATACACATACACCGACACACAAAGTTAGCGCTTTATAAAATAGAAGGATTTTCGAAAAACAATTTGATTAGGCGAATGCGCTAAGGGGGCGACAACGCTTGCTTTGAAGAGTAGCTCGAAAAACACCGTAGAGAACAAGACCAACCGGCCATTACTCGAGCGATTGACCGTATTGAGAAGTTTTTGAATCAGAGTAGATGTAAATCGAAGGCACCACGTTTGCAAAACTTTACTGATAACGTTTCGACCCTAAGCGGGGAGGAGGACGGAAGGCTTGATACAGTAATGCGGATGCGGATGGAATGCAAGGTGAGCTTTTAATGTGTTGAGGAAAAGGATTGATCTTCCTACATTCGGCCTCGTATGCGGCGTTTTGAGAATGGGCACTCTGCGCAGTTTTAAGGGCTACGCAGTGACTCCATTCTCAAACACTCTTATGCGCTCGTCCATTCTCAGAGGCTCTTGCGTGACCAACGCAGTTTCCGACCCCGATATTGCCCTCTTGCATATCCGTTCTGCCGTATCATTTCTTCTACCTTCTATTTTCCCAACAATCACGGAAGTCGGCTTGCACGATGTTAGGATCATGTAATGAACGAAAATCAGTTTCATGTGGAGTGGATAGCAACTTAGCGTGTTTAGAATATAATTAGATACCTCCTTCTTTACACTGCACTGGACTGACTTGACCGCCCACTATTCTGACTTTGGAACTCAATGTGAGAACTGTCTTGCCGAGGTCTATTCGATGTTGGTCGTGGTGCGCTGAATTCAACTTAGAAAGTTTTTCGCAAAGTTTCTTGTTTTGCTGAGGATGAAGATGTCGTCGATGTACCGTCCAAAATATAGTGCATACTCCTGACGACAATGGTCTTCGTTTCAATCTACATGAGCACCATCGCGAATAGCGGAGCCAAGCTGCTCCCCATAGAAAGTTGTAGCACTATTCCATCCCCCGAGGATCGAAAATTTTAGGACAAAATATTGATTCGATGGAAAAAACTTTTGTGCACTCGAAAATCGGCTCGCAATCACCCCCAAAAGCACAGAAGAACTTTATGAAGAGTTAAACATTCACGACTATTCAAATATTCCCCATTAAGAAAACAGTATGCGCTGCCGAAATTTCCTCATCACTCTGTATAAGAACACATCTGAGTGAAGCTAAAACATTAAAAAAGGGAGGTCCATAACCATTTAAAAGTTTTCTTTCTACTTCGTAACAAATAGAGATTTGAGAAGGTAGTGGGAGCCTTTTCATACTACCGAAATTAAAAGTTTCGCAACTTTAAAATGGGGGTTCCTGGGTTTTTGCGAAAGGGTGATTGAGGATGTTGCATCCGGTTGGAATGTAGAAATTCATACCATCGCATTTCCCATGGGGAAGGCAAAGCGCGTTCCTGAGTAAAGAACGCGACGTAGCCGTATGCACAGGGCGAGAGCGGTGGTGCAAACTCTTTTGAAATATCTATCTTGTATCTAATCAGATCGTGTTTTTCTCATTATGTCTTCTTCTTGATGTTGTCTCATTTACTACTTTTTGTTTGTTTTAGAGGCCTTAATCCCGATGCAAGGACGGCATCGGGGGCAACTAATGGTAAGCTAGTCCAAAAGTCCTGCAACGCACGGAAGACTCGCGTTGCGACGTTAAATGTTGGCACGTTAACGGGCCGCTCGTACGAGTTAGCAGAAGCTCTAGAGCGCCGACGATTGATTTCTGTGCCGTGCAGGAAACGAGGTGGTCCTGCTGCAGATCGAGAGATATTGGACGAGGCTTCAAAGCCGTTCTTTGTGGCGGTCCTAGAACCACCAGAGGCGGAGTAGTTGTTTCTGACCGCTTCCGTGACTCGATCGTAAGCGTTGATCGCTTTGACGACCGTCTAATGAAGATTGTTGTCGTCATCGAACGTAAGCGATACCACTTCTTTCTGCATATGCTCCGCAGACTGGCTGCTCTGAGCGAGCTAAAGACGAGTTCTGGACCTGCTGGATGAAAAGACCGCAGATGTACCGTTACAAGAGGCTCAACAAAAGACGGTCACAACTGCCACGGTGGATTTGGATATGGGTCACGTATACCGATGGCGAACGAATTCTTGAGTACGCAAATTCGCACGATCTCACCATCGTGAATACAAATTTCCGGAAACGTGATTCCCACCTCATCACCTTCTACAGCGGTACTACCAGAACGCAAATCGACTTTGTCCTCGTCAGGCAACGCGATCGAGGGCTTGTAACAGACGCAAAGGCGGTGCCGTATGAGACTGTCACCACGCAACATCGACCGCTGATTTGCACGCTGAAGATCGCTCCTCCGAAAGAGAAATCGAGCGGTGTGGACCAGCGAGAATCAAGTGGTGGCGTTTGAAAGAGAAGGAGGCGGTCGTGATATCCAACATTCAGTTGCCGGCAGTCACGACTGTTGATGAAACTTGGAAAAGTGCTGCCGAGGCGATAATCCGTTCTGCTCGTTCCGAACTCGGCACAACAAAACCTGGGCGACGGAAGATCGACAAGCAAGCGTGGCTATGGACGGACGATGTTAAAGAAAAAGTACGTGAGAAGAAGAGGCTATACCACGTATTTCTTGGCGATAAGACTGTCGACAACTGGCGGAGTTATCAGGCAGCTAAGAATGCGGCAAAGAAGGCCGTTGCTGCCGCAAAAGCTGCCCACTTTGCTGATGTTAGCGAGAAGCTCGAGACGCGCGATGGTGAACGCTATGTTTATCGCTCGCCAAAGCCCGCCATCGCCAGTCCGAGGATATCGAGAAGTTTTTCGGCATCAACGACGAAAATGGTAACCTCCTGACGGACCGCAAGAAAGCAGTGAAGCGATGGCACGATTACTTCGAGAACATCTCAGCAGTAGAATTTGCTCATCCAGCAGTCCCTTATGTCCCGCCAGTGCATGGTCCCGTGCAGAAAATGACCGTGGAGGAAGCTACAAGCCCCGATAATTTGGCAGCGGACATGTGGAAGTCAAAGTGCTGGTGTCCTGCTGAATGGTTGACCAAGTTTTTCAACCAGATCGTAGCAGAGAGAAAGGTGCCTGAGAGTTGGCAGCAGAGCACAACGATTCCGATTTGGAAGAAGAAAGGCAGCCCTGCTGACTGTACGAGCTACCGTCCAATCCGCCTGCTCTCGCACAGCATGAAGATCTTTGAGCGAATTGTGGACGGCCGTATTCGTGACATCGTGCAGCTTTCCATCAACCAGTGTGGATTTGTGTCAGGCTGCGGCACCATCGATGCAATACATGCCGCTCGCCTTCTGCTTGGAAAGACATCGCGAGAAAAGAAAAGCTGTGCATCTTGCCTTCCTGGACCTGGAGAAGGCTTTCGATCGCGTTCCTCGAGAAGTTATATGGTATGCTTTACGACAGCACGACGTTCCCGAAGAGCTTATTGAGTGGGTGCGCATACTTTACTCGAACTCAAGAGCCGGGTGCAAACGGTGCAGGTACTTCGATGGAATTTTCCCATCTCTGTCGGTGTACACCAAGGCTCTGCGGATTTCCGCCACTCCTTTTCATTGTCGTCATCGATGCCATTCTTCAGATCTTCAGGAGCCTTCCCCATGGACAGTATAGCGGCACTAATCGCCTGCAGTCGCGTCGCGCGTGCCTTCCGATTGGAATGCACGAAACGGGAAAATCGCCAAATCTACCTCCCCCTATGGACGTACCGTAACTTTCTTCAATTACAACCATTTCAAAAAAGGAGGGCAGATTCTGGATTTGCGGGACTTCTAGTTTCTAAATTTTGCTGAGCGTTTTTCTAAGCACATTCTATTCTCGAGAGTTGGGAGACGTCGAGGAATTGTCGAGGAAATTGAAATTTACATGCGAGTTCCCACTCTTTGGAAGACAGTAGCTGTCTTCATTGGCAATGCTTTGGAAATCGAAGAAAACGATTGCGAAGAAGAAGATTTACCCCTTCTATGGCTGCAACGTTTTGAAAGTTCTCGGATTTGCGAGAAATCTGAGTATCTATTTAGGATGGCATCCGAGCCAATTGAATACCCTAATCCTCCTTCGTAGATGCAAGGAACCTCTTTCGGAACCCTCAAATTGCTTCCA